CAAGAGGCCATTAAGCGCGAATTATATTGGCCGAAAAAGTGCTGTAAATTGCCAGACAAATGACTCGCCAAGGTGTTAATATTGATCACGTTTTGGGGGTATGGGGAGGATAAGAGTCCTGTGAAAAGCCTCTCGATAAATATATATATTTTTATATATACATAAATATCTAATATTTTATGTATTTTAAAAAAAGGTAATATTTGATGTATTTAAATATTTGTTATATATTTTTAAATATCTAATATCTTTTCAAAATAAATTTTTCTAAACCCTATTATATTTATTTTTAGACATTTAAATCATGCTAGATTAAAACTAGTTGTCAGCAAGCATAACTGTACCTCAAAATAGCGACGACAGGGGCAAAGAAAAAAGCATCCAAACATCCTATCCAGATCCCGGATCCCAGATTCAGCGGATGGAACCCAGAACTTGCGGTCACTGATTCATGCCGAACCCCATCCCAAAATGGGACTGAAAAAAAAAACCCGGCTATACGCATTATAGTCGAGGATGGGGACTTAAGCAGATGCTGCCACTACGGGAACCTTCTTACGAATGTAATTTTTATTTACACAATTTTAAGCTAATATTACGTTCGAGCCACGCCCCAGTATTTCCGAGCCGGAATACAAGAAAAAACAGAAGCTGAAGCCGGCAAAAAGAACCAGTAGAACAAGAGGGCAGCAAACAAAACGCGAACCCGAAAATGAAAACGACAGAAAAACAAAAAAAAAACGACAGAGAATTTGTCCCAAAAAAGGATTAATGAAATAAAATTATCTCTTTTTCGGCGTAACGTGAGCCACTGGCAAACGGAGGAGGGGGGCTTGTAATGCGCCACCCCCTTTCCCTCTCCGCCCCTTGTTTCGTGTATTCCATTTCTTTTTTATTATAATGCCTATTTTTGCACAGTGAAAAATATACAAATATTATTAGATTTAATAACATTATAATGAAAAAAATCATTAAAATATTGTAGAAATATTTACAGGTTTCATGCCACTAAAAATATATATATTTTAATTTTAAATAAAAATCTATCTAAAGATTAGCTATGTCAATATTTTCTGTAGTGTAGATCCCTTATCCTTGTCTAACTCTTTTCTTCGCTGTGTGTGAGAGCCTTTTTTTCCCGTTGAAGGCATTTTTTCGCGTATTATTTGTCATGGGTGGGGGTTGATAAAGATGGTTTCGGGGGGTGTTGGCCTCATCAAGTGGGAACACGTACAAATCTCTTGTGTACCGAGGCCTGGCCAAACTATATGGCCATTTCTCCCCCGCTTAAGTTAACGTTCAAAGTGCGTGTCTTTGTAAATAAATTCTGCCTCCTTTTTTTCGCTTTGTCCCGGTAATTCTCATATTTTAACATTTTTAAATGCATTCAAATTAAGCAGAGAGAAGGGTTGCACAAACAAAAACTGAAGAAAAAGGCGAAAGAAGATGGTTAAGTTGCATATAAATAACAGGAGGTAATAAAAACACATTTCATTCCAGATGTTCCAGGGATCGACGTTAATTTGGGGATTATTTGGGATATCCTTATAAATAGCACTTTCTTTTTTAGTTTGAGTGTTAGTTCAATAAATTTAGAATTTTTCCATAAAGACTTTAATTAATTTCTCTCAATCTTCCTTGATTCCTTTCGCTCCCAACTTCAATTTTAAGCTCGTATAATTAAGAATCTTTATGTTTATCCGAAATCCTTTCAAAGCCTTTCTCCAGCCATTTCCATTTCCATTTGCATGCCTCGCCACAACGAAAATGTCTGAATTCCATTTTGGAATTAATTCAATTATGCACAAATGTCAAGATGAAATTGTGGTTGGATTGAAATTTTCGCTGACACATAATGGGTTAATGGCACGACGAATTCACCTGACCTCATCCCTCGTTCGCCTCATTTGTCCAAAAATTTGCAGAGCAGCTCCGGCAAAAGTTGATCAAACAAAGGGCATAAAGATTTGAAAAAGTCGCGCATCATTTCAGGCAACCCCTGATTACCTTGCCCCCCTTTTTCACGACCTAGCCACCTCCTTAGCCACCAGTGATGCCAGATTGGGCATTTTTCAGACCATATAATTAAAAATGAAATCCTATTTTTATTTGATTTTATTAAGAGCCAGGCTGCGAAAGAAACAAAAATACGCGAATTCTTTAGCACAAGGCTAATTACATAATTTGGCAAGTTTTGCCATCTCTGACGCCTCTCTTATCCATTCTTTGTAGCCACCATTCAACTCCTTAAGTCGTCAGAGTCCTTCGCTCTGGCTAAATGAAATACATAAATGTCATTCATTCATTTATGCAAAACTTGTAATAATGACAATCGTCTTAGTCCAACGAGACGTTGAAAACTCCCGGCCAAAGGAGTGAAGATGTAGCCCTAAGCCCCCCCTGAGAAAATCCGTACCCTTTCGCTGACGCTGAGCATCGAAAATCCACGCTAAAATAAAGTAGCGCTGGGAAAAAACGAAAAAGAGAACAAAACCAATGAAAATGAAAATTTTCTGTTGACACCGAAAGATTTTCATGGCAAATGCCTGTCAAAAATTTTGTGTGTACGCGCGCGAAAAATTTTTCTGTCAAGGTAGGCGAGTGCCGGGGTTAGACACCCCTTTCCGCAGAGCACCTTCCTTACCACTTCTTTAGCCCTTCCCCAGCATCTTACCGCGCTGTTGTTGTTGGGCGGTAATAAAATTCTTAATGTGCCATTAAATCCTTCCACTGGCAACGTCATCAGCGCGTCATGACTTTTGTTGTCGCCAAAAAACCAAAGAAGGTTCCATAGGAAGGGGTTCAGAAGGGGTTGGGGAAGGGGGTGGGGTAACCTGGACCTCCTGACTGAAGTCAGTCTTGGAATTCCGCCAGGCGAATGGGGAAAATCTAACGAAAATGTTCGCTACGAAATGGCACGTAAATAAATTGCAAAGATTTGTCGTTCTCCCTTCTTTTCGCCAAAGAAAAGAGAAGGGAAAACTGGGATGGGGAAGGGGGATTTTCACTCCCAAAATTTTCACCTGCCCTTCTGTGTGGTTTTCTTCGCTGTCAGCGAGCCAACTGCAAAAAGGACAACAAATGAGTTAACATTTCTGGTGGATAACAATTTTCATCATCCCCCAATCCCCACCCACTGTCATTATGATTATTGTCATTTGGTTGAGGTGATTCAATGCATTTAGATTGCATAATTAAGTTATATCCAACAGGAAAATGTTCCCTTTTCAAAATGGTAGGTCGGAGATCAATGGAAAGGGTTAGTCTAGTTTGTACGTAAAATAATGTTTTATGGTTAAAAGTAAGGAAAATTTAAATTCTTTATATATATTAATATTTTTACCTTGTAAATTAAAATATAATTAAATCTTTTTTAAAACAAATTTAATTAATTTTCCTTGAAGCAGGCTAAGAAAAAGTTGCATATTTATGCCCATTTTTTCGCAATCTTGTAGGTCCTCAACCTCTTTTAATTTTTTTGTACCTACATTTTCCTATTTTTAATTTTAATTTCGATTGTAGGCGGCCGCCCACAAGTGCTTAATATTTCCCCACAACAAAAGCGCCAGTTGGATGGCCACTTGTCGATATTTAACATAATTGTGCCATTGTTCAGGGACCGCGCACATATGCGAAATCAAAAAGAGTTCAAGTGTCAACGTTTAAGTCGAAGAAGTGCAAGTGGGTTGGCCCGAAGAAGTGCCCGGCTCAGGCAGTTAATGGTCGCCAGTATGCTGCAGTTTTGCCCAGATTTCCCCAGTCGGATGTGGATGTGGCCACAAAATTGCAATTGCTTCAAGACCTGGTCCCTATAATTATACTCACATACAGATGTATGTGGAAAATGCATATGAATAATCATTGCTTTGTTGGGTGGACAATAAGGACTTGCCAACAAGTCAGTGCAGGGAGTTAAAGGCACTTTAATGACAAGTACTGATTTTCTGGATATTTTTATAAAAAAACCTTATTGACTGCAAGTATTAAGTATAAACCAATACCCTTTTTTGCAGTTCTTCAATTGTAATTTGGATATTTTTGAATTAATTTTCGCATTTTTAATAAAATTATACAAATTAAAAATTTCCAGGTTTAAATGAAGTATGATTGGGAATTTCATAATCGATTTTCTGCTGTAACTTGGTTAAAAATGGTCCGAAATCAAAAAGGCGTACTGTTTTGGGCAGGTAACAACGTAATAATTAATATCAGTAAACTTTCCGTGTGATTTTGGAAAATTAAAATTTTTGCCAATTTTCACATTTTTGATAAGGGGTTACATCATAATTTTTTGCGAAAATTGGCAAAAATTAAAAATTTCCAGGTTTAAATGCAGATCGATTGGGGATTTTATTACGAGTTCAACGAGGTATGACATTCAATATTTGGATCATTATTTCAATTTTTATGGCCAAAATACTCGTTTTGTTTGGGTGGAAAATCAGGACTTAGATTTTTGGTACAAATTTGAAATATTTCTTAATCGATTTTTTGCTATAACTTGGGCAAAAATGATCCCAAATCAAAAAGGCGTACTGTTTTGGGCAGCTAACAACCTAATAATTAATATCAGTAAACTTTCCGTGTGATTTTGGAAAAATAAAATTTTCGCCAATTTTCGCATTTTTGATAAGGGGTTACATCATAATTTTTTGCGAAAATTGGCAAAAATTAAAAATTTCCAGGTTTAAATGCAGATCGATTGGGGATTTTATTACGAGTTCAACGAGGTATGACATTCAATATTTGGATCATTATTTCAATTTTAATGGGCAAAATACTCGTTTTGTTTGGGTGAAAAATCAGGACTTAGATTTTTGGTACAAATTTGAAATATTTCTTAATCGATTTTTTGCTCTAATTTGGCAAAAATGCTCCCAAACAACCGAAATATTAATATCCGTCTGATTTAAAAGGATGCGATAGGATAGCTCCATTTTTTTGACTCCAAGGTGGCTTTGAGTTTAGTGTTACTTTGCCTTTCGAGCCGTTCAGTTGAGACTCTCGGTTTTTCTCATTCAACCTTAGAAATTTCAACCGGCAACACCAGAGCCTAAATCTTATCGTAAAATCCTTAGCTAAAATTCCAAATTTAACAAGCATATGGTGACATCGGATTTTGTGAAGCAAATCAATAGTTTATTTTAATAGGTAAGTTTTTGTGAATTACGAGAACTGCTCGACTATCGCGCTTTTATTCGGCAAATTAGCCAGACGTGGCAACGTTTGCTGCAAAGAGTTACCATTTTTCGCGGAAGTATGTGTAGAAAAAGTGAAAACCATGTACAAAAATATAGAAAGTCTTGAAATTTGACTATTCTTTAAAATATAATATAAACGATAGGTTATGACGCTTGTACTCAGAAATTCGTCAAGATGGCAACATTTGCTACAAAAGGTGGCCACTTTTCGCGAATGTGGCAATATTTGCAACGAAAAAAGGGCAATATTTTTGATAAAGAAGAAAATTCGTTTTGACAGTTGACACTTGCTTAAATTTATTTTTCAATTTATAGGTTTTAAATTATTTGTAGAGTCATGCAGCGCTCTTATCCACTGATTGCCTGTCCCCTGGTGCGGCCGCGTTGCCATGGATTGATTGGCGGCGTTTGGAATGGTTTTCGTAGGGCCATGGCGTCGGATTCCTGGGGTCAGGATGGTCGTGGAAGTGGTCCCAAAACTCCTAAGGCCAGCGCCACATCCACTGTGATTAGCGATGCGGGCTCCTATTCGCGTGGCACGAATACGGGCGCCTTGGAGCGTCGCATCAATCGCGAGGATAATATGTGGCGCGATCGCAGTTATATCGATACGAAGTGGCTAAATCCCCGTGATCCCTCCGCCTATCGACCGAATTTCCGTCAAACTGAGCCCACTTCGCTGCGAAAGCAGTTCATGCGCAGCCCCGATGAAATCTCACGCGAGGTGATGGGTCGCGATTGGGAGGAGACCGTCAAGTCCTATAAACGTAGTGCTGCTGCCATGGGCCCCGGCCAAAGGGGCGGCGGACGCAACGAGGCGTGGCAGGCAGCGGATAATACACGTAATCGCCAGCAGCATTTGCAATTGATGCAAATGCAACAGCAACAGGAACAGCAGCAGCAACAGCAGCAACAGCAGCAACAGCAAGAAAAGAAACAGCAACAAAACTATTGGGGCAGATGCCACTTGGAACCACCCAAGGATCAATAATCTATCAGTCCAAAATCAACAGACCAACATGCCAGTCGAAACTAGAATTCCCCTCAATATATCCATAAACATATACTATATATATACAACCCAGATATCGGGCTGAGTCATTCGTTCAGATAATGATATTGCTATCATCAATGTGATTTTTTGGCAAATCTATCGTGTAAATGAAAACAAATGATTTTGGGATATACAGTATGAGTTTGGGAACTGGAAAAACGAGGAATTTCACAATTAAAATATAGACTATGTACATATGTTTAAAAACATTTTTTTATTTAGTGATTTCATTTAGTGACTTTATAGCTGGCATTATCCGCAGTAAACCCATCATCCCCGTAATGTCCCCGAGCCGCATCCTATGGTCTACTATTTCCAAAAGCGCTTCATCAGGTGGATTACCTACGGAACATCAGCATCATCTCACCATCATCATCGTCGTCATCAGGCACGTCCGCTTCGGTACGCCCATTCGGTTATATTAAAACCATTTTTCGCTTATTACCAAAAAATTTAAATATTTTGAAAATAATAAACTGCGGGTGAGTTACTAAGTGGCAGCAGCGACGCCCACAAAAAAGCAAACAACAACGTTCGTCCCACTCCCGAAAAAGGTAAATGGTATTTGGATTGGGTTGAGTTGGGTGGTGGGATGGTGGTATCGTCATCAGCACTTGGTATCATCAAAATGATGCTGCTCCTGCTCCACTCTGCCCACCTTTAGCCCACACACAGTCCACAGGCCATTACTAATCCTCCTGCCCAACGGAACCGAACCCGCAATCCAAGTAACTCTGCCCCCAAACCACCCAGAAATCCACCCAAATCCACCCAAACCACCCAGCCACCCATCCACCCACTGCTGTGCGATATCAGCGCGCCTCGTGTTGATTGTCGCGCATTGCCATCAATGGAAACCCCCTTCCAGACTACTCCACAGGCTTCCGCCTCAACCTCAAGTCCTTGCCCCTTTCTGTAGTCCCCCCTCCGCCCCCTTTTAATGAGCATCATGCGTTCGTCATCATGATGATGATAATGGTCAGTGGCTCGCAAAAGGAAAGGGGGCATTCCATTTTATTTACTGAAATACTGAAAACGCGAATTCTTCAGCAAATGTTTTGTTTAAATTCTTTGCTTTAAGATAGAAAAAATAAATATATAAAATGTTTTATTTTTAATAATAAAATGTAAAGAGGACGCGAATTCTTCAGATGTTTTGTTAATTCTTTAAAATATATAACAAATTTACTTTAAAATTTATAGAAAATATATTAATTTTTTGTAAATTATATTTTTTATATTTTCAAACCCCTTTCCCCCGCAGCCCCTGTGAAAAATGATAATGCTGATGGCCATGATGGTGTTTCCTTCTCATAGTGTCATATTTTTATGATTTTTATGTTAATTCATAGCCAGCGACGACGTCGCGGTTGCCAGTTCTCGAAAAACACACCCATCGCCACCCTTTTCCCATCGCAGACTCCTTCCTTCTTTTCGCCAAATGCTTTTTAATCCTTTTAATGAAAATTAGTTCCTCTCAATAACATTTAATATATTTTCCTTTGCTTTCGGCGACTCCTTGTTTCTATCTCCCGCTGCCCGTTGTTTTCACAGGCATTATCATAATTTCTGTTTGCAACCCTAAATCAACACTGCTGGTTTTTGGAGCATCCCAGCTTCTTCTCCTCTTAGCCCGCTCCCTCATCCTCCCTCAGCTCGATGAAGGGTTACTGGTCCTGTCCATTTTCGGTGGTTCACTGGGTTTCCAAACACCAAGATGATGCTGCAGACACACACACACACAGGGAGAGTCTCCATTTTTCGGCATATATCACAAGGTGATAACCTAACCCATCCACCCATTCAAAACATCAACCCATACACCCGCCTGCTTTTTGTCTTTGACCTTTCGCGTTTGATTTCCTATGCAGCGCTAAATGGCATTCTGGTCCACGTGGCTTTTCCGCGAGCTCGGGAAAATTGAAAACTTGAAAACCCAAAAGCAGTAAAAATTAATGGGCGTAGCGAAGGTGTTTGCCATCGCATAGAAGCGATTCTCGTTCGAATTTCTCGAATTTAAAGATCAAAATGTTCGCAGAAGCGATTCTCGTTCGATTTTCTCGAATTTAAAGATCAAAATTTTCGTAGAAGCGATTTTCGTTCGATTTTCTCGAATTTAATGATAAAAAATTCCTTAATAATCAAGCAAATTATTGTCTAATATTTTCTGTTTGATTTCAGAAGTTTTTTCTATGTAGCACCTATTAATTTTTTTTTATTTTAACTTTACTATTGAATTTCAACTCAATTTTGCGAGCTTGTTAAGTTCTCCAAGCCCCTGCAAAATGGGAGCCATAGACACTCCGCATTAGCTATGCGAATGATGCAGCCATAAAGAAGTTCATTAGATGCCAAAAACAGCGGGGGAATGGAGCTGCGCGGAGTCCATGGAGTCCATGGTTCGATAGACAAAGGACGGCATCTCCGGGAATATTTTGTTCATGCATTATAATCATTATCATTATTAGCATTATTGTCAGCCAGGACTCGGGACTCCAGGACTCAGACTCCGCTGAATTATGCAATGCAGTCCGGGGGGAAATGGGGCGTGGGCTATGCCCATTTTCATTTTCATTTTCACGATGGAATAGAATGGAACGGAATGGAATGGTGAGAAAAAGCCAACTCGTTCATTTCGTTTTCGTTGTCAAATGCAAAAATCGCGAGCCGAAAGGCAGCAGCGCTTCCTTTTCCTTTTTCCTCCCATCTTACTCTATGTTGAAAATTTTCCAAAAATTCTATTATTATTAATAGAGGCGAAGAGTGGAGAGCAGTGGAAGGAAGGCGAGGCGACCATGACGACTGGCTTGGCTTTTGGATTTTTGGTCCTTGTATTTGGCTCCTTTGGTTGCCGGTATGCGTTTGTCTTTGCGCCCGAAAGCCGACTACAATAACCCCGAAAAATGCACACAGTTTGCATTATAATGCGAAATTTTCGATTGCTCATTTGTGGCATTTACTTTTTACTATAAAAGTTTTATAGCCCAGCCAGAGGAGGCAGCCGCGAATAATACACTTTGAAAAATGTTTTAAAATGTTGGTATTCAAAAAAATTTAAAAAGAATAAATGGTTACTTTTTTAAATTACCTACAATTTATATTTATATTCTAATAATTCGTTTATAATTTATTTATAATTTTACCGGCTTTCCTTTTCAATTGTAATGTACATTTTTTAGCCGCATTCTTATGAAAATATGCCAAAGCGCGAATTCTTTAGCACTCTTTTCTGTAAAACGCGATCTCGTTAGCCCTCTTTTCTGTATGATTTTTACACTTATCTTAATGAAAACCGGTGATTGTTTTTCGTGAAAGTTATAAACGTATATTTACGATATACGATTAATAAGTTTCGGTAGTATTTTTTCACGTGCAACATCAACGACAACGGCAACACGAAGCGACGACAGCAGCAACAAAATTTTACACAATGTCATCAACGGTGGCTGACAATGTTGGATGTGGGTTGGGATCTTTGGGGGTCTCTGGGATGTGGGCTGTGGGAGGTGGCTGCTGGAAAACGAAGGAAGGACACTGAGACACTGACAATTGTGTGCAATTTTTGGGCACTAAACTTAAAGGATTACTTTTGGCTAATTTCGCACTGCTTTTTGCCAATGCCCGAGCCTCGAGTTGGACAGCCTCGAGAACTAAAGGTTCTCTTGTTTAGGCCGCCCGACAGAATCTTTGATGTTGCTCTGTGCCTTGAAAGCCGGGATTCTTTGTCTCGAACAAAAGGGGTGGCTACGATTCCCACCTACCATCCAAAATCTAGTTGAAACAGTGTGGGGAACACTGGACTATACTCTTTTGTTGCAGGAAAATCACTAAAATTGTTAGAATTGTCTTGGTATTTTCTTTTGGGTAAGAAATTGCCTTCGAAATGCAATAGAAATTATAGTAAGTAATATTAGTGAAGTATTTTTTAAAAATAATTATTTTTTTCTATAAAAATGTATAGGAAATACAATTAAATAAATATAAATATTTCTAAAAAATTAAAATTCTCCTTACAGATTAAACATTCATTATAAATTAAGGTCTCAAAACCCAGCATTATTTTCCAATAACTGCTTGGTTTTCCAGACTTTTCGAGCCGAATATAAGAGCCAGGCAATATTTTGGATATGGAAATTACTCCGTCTGGAAAAGTTTTCGCCAACTTGAGTTGAGTTTTTCCGCCCAACAGCTGTGGGACCAGGACCACCACCTGACCCCATTCCCCAGCCACTTTGCCACTTTGGTGTCTGTTCATAAGCCATAAAAATGCCAAAAACTCATTGACTTATGAGGCATTAGCTGGGCTGCAGTACCCCCCGAAATAAATTGGCTAAAATTCAAATTGGATATATTATATACCTATATATACGGAGTACATCTATCTATATATAAATTAGCATTCTTGGACCAACGACGGCCGCCTTGGAATGGTTTATTAATGGCAAATTAAAAGCAATAAAAAACAGATGTGCTTAACGTGGCACATTCCAAAAAAAAAAGTGAGTAAGGTTGGGGGGCTTATATATTTTTTCTGGACTGGGTTGCAGCTCATCAGGAGATTTTGCTGTGCTGTGCGCACCTTTTGCCAAGTTCGGCGACTTTGTTGTTGTCGTTATGAAAATTACTTTGCTCTTTGCTGCCGCTGCGGCATTTATGGAAAACCCCCTTCCATGCGAAGGGGGCGAAAAAAGAAAGTTTTGCATTTGAAATTCCCGGTTGGTTCTGGCTGCCTTATGCAGTTTATCATTTTTGCAACGCGCCCCCATTATCCACCCACAATCCCCACCCACTCTATCCATTCAGGTGGGTAATTTTAATTTTAAGCTTGAGTAATGACAATATTTACTTCCACTTCACCGTTATAGTCAAGCGGTACACGCTTTAATGGCATTTTGATTTGAGATTTTCCACTTTGGCCCCCGCGGCCTCCCCCTTCTCCTCCTTGGCTTTTCGTCCTTTCTTTTCTTCCATAGTTGACTCCAGCTGTTGTCCTCCCCTTACCTCCTGTCGATTTTTGCATGTGGCAAAGCTCAGCATTTTCGGCGAATTTGCAAAAATATAATGTCTTCTTCAGGGGTTTTTAAAGTCATTTTGGGAAACAGTCATCTTTAAATTTAAAAATTAAAAAAATTCCTAAACTTGCAAACACACTGGAAAAAGCTTAGTATTTTAAAGGATTCAATATTTTGTGAATAAGAATTCCAATAAT